ATCAGTGATATTGGCCTGTAGTTTTCTTTTTTTGTGACATCTTCATCTGGTTTTGGTATCAGGGTGATGGTGGCCTCGTAGAATGAATTTGGGAGTGTTCTTTCCTCTGCTATATTTTGGAAGAGTTTGAGAAGGATAGGTGTTAGCTCTTCTCTAAATGTGTGATAGAATTCATCTATGAAGCCATCTGGTTCTGGGCTTTTGTTTGTTGGAAGATTTTTAATCACAGTTTCAATTTCAGTGCTTGTGATTGGTCTGTTCATATTTTCTATTTCTTCCTGGTTCAGTCTCAGAAGGTTGTACTTTTCTAAGAATTTGTCCATTTCTTCCAGGTTGTCCATTTTATTGGCATATAGCTGCTTGTAGGAATCTCTCATGATCCTTTGTATTTCTGCAGTGTCAGTTGTTACTTCTCCTCTTTCATTTGTAATTCTGTTGATTTTAGCCTTCTCCCTTTTTTTCTTGATCAGTCTGGCTAATCGTTTATCAATTTTGTTTATCTTCTCAAAGAACCAGCTTTTAGTTTTATTGATCTTTGCTATCGTTTCCTTCATTTCTTTTTCATTTCTTTCTGATCTGATCATTATGACTTCTTTCCTTCTTCTAACTTTGGGGTATTTTTGTTCTTCTTTCTCTAATTGCTTTAGGTGTAAGTTTAGGTTGTTTATTTGAGATTTTTCTTGTTTCTTGAGGTAGGATTGTATTCCTATAAATATCGCTCTCAGAACTGCTTTTGCTGCATCCCATACGTTTTGGATCATCGTGTTTTCATTGTCATTTGTTTCTAGGTATTTTTTGATTTCCTCTTTGATTTCTTCAGTGATCTCTTGGTTATTTAGTAGCGTATTGTTTAGCCTCCATGTGTTTGTACTTTTTACAGTTTTTTTCCTGTAATTGATATCTAGTCTCATAATGTTGTGGTTGGAAGAGATACTTGATACAGTATCAATTTACTTAAATTTACCAAGGCTTGATTTGTGACCCAAGATATGATCTGTCCTGGAGAATGTTCCATGAGCACTTGAGAAGAAAGTGTATTCTGTTGTTTTTGGGTGGAATGTCCTATAAATATCAATTAAGTCCACCCTGTTTAATGTGTCATTTAAAGCTTGTGTTTCCTTATTTACTTTCTGGATGATCTGTCCATTGGTGAAAGTGGGGTGTTAAAGTCCCCTACTTTTATTGTGTTACTGTCAGTTTCCCCTTTTATGGCTGTTAGCATTTGCCTTATGTATTGAGGTGCTCCTATGTTGCGTGCATAAATATTTACAATTGTTATATCTTCTTCTTGGATTGATCCCTTGATCATTGTATAGTGTCCTTCTTTGTCTCTTGTAATAATCTTTATTTTAAAGTCTATTTTGTCTTATATGAGAATTGCTACTCCAGCTTTCTTTTGACTTCCATTTGCATGGAATATCTTTTTCCATCCCCTCACTTTCAGTCTGTTTGTGTCCCTAGGTCTGAAGTGGGCCTCTTGTAGACAGCATATATACAGGTCTTGTTTTTGTATCCACTCAGCCAGTCTGTGTCTTTTGGTTGGAGCATTTAATCCATTTACATTTAAGGTAGTTGTCGATATGTATGTTCCTAGTACCATTTTATGAATTAATTTGGGTTTGTTATTGTAGGTCTTTTCCTTCTCTTGTGTTTCCTGCCTAGAGAAGTTCCTTTAGCATCTGTTGTAAAGCTGGTTTGGTGGTGCTGAATTCTCTTAGCTTTTGCTTGTCTGTAAAACTTTTAATTTCTCTGTCGATTCTGAATGAGATCCTTGCTGGGTAGAGTAATCTTGGTTGTAGGTTTTTCCCTTTCATCACTTTAAATATATCCTGCCACTCCCTTCTGGCTTGCAGAGTTTCTGCTGAAAGATCAGCTGTCAACCTTATGGGGATTCTCTTGTATGTTATTTGTTGTTTTTCCCTTGCTGCTTTTAATATTTGTTCTTTGTATTTAATTTTTGATAGTTTGGTTAATATGGTCTTGGCGTGTTTCTCCTTGGATTTATCCTGTATGGGACTCTCTGTGTTTCCTGGACTTGACTATTTCCTTTCCCATATTAGGGAAGTTTTCAACTGTAATCTCTTCAAGTATTTTCTCAGTCCCTTTCTTTTTCTCTTCTTCTTCTGGGACCCCTATAATTCGAATGTCGGTGCATTTAATGTTGTCCCACAGGTCTCTGAGACTGTCCTCAATTCTTGTCATTCTTTTTTCTTTATTCTGCTCTACGGTGTTTATTTCCACTATTTTATCTTCCAGGTCACTTATCTGTTCTTCTGTGTCAGTTATTCTGCTATTGATTCCTTCTAGAGAGTTTTTAATTTCATTTATTGTGTTGTTCATCATTGTTTGTTTGCTCTTTAGTTCTTCTAGGTCCTTGTTAAACGTTTCTTGTATTTTCTCCATTCTATTTCCAAGATTTTGGGTCATCTTTACTATCATTACTCTGAATTCTTTTTCAGGTAGACTGCCTACTTCTTCTTCATTTGGTCTGGTGGGTGTTTACCTTGCTCCTTCATCCGCTACATATTTCTCTGTCTTCTAATTTTGTTTAACTTACTGTGTTTGGGGTCTCCTTTTTGCAGGCTGCAGTTTTGTACTTCCCATTGTTTTTGGTGTCTGCCCCCAGTGGGTGAGGTTGGTTCAGTGGCTTGTGTAGGCTTCCTGGTGGAGGGACTGGTGCCAGTGTTCTGGTGGGTAGGGCTGTATCTTGTCCCTCTCGTGGGCATGGCTGCGTCTGGTGGTGTTTCTTGGGGTGTCTGTGACCTTATTATGATTTTAGGCAGCCTCTATGCTAATGGGTGGGGTTGTGTTCCTGTCCTGCTAGTTGTTTGGCATCGGGTGTCCAGCACTGGAGCTTGCTGGCCGTTGGGTGGAGCTGTGTCTTAGTGTTGAGATGGAGATCTCTGGGAGAGCTCTCACCGATTGATATTATGTGGGGCTGGGAGGTCTCTGGTGGTCCAATGTCCTGAACTCGGCTCTCCCACCTCAGAGGCTCAGGCCTGACACCCGGCCAGAGCACCAAGACCCTGCCAGCCTCACGGCTCGGAAGCAAAGGAAGAGAAAAAAAGGAAAAGAAAACCCCAATAAACAACAGATAGAACCCCAAACCAAATGGTAAAAGCAAAACTAAACAGACAAAATCACAGAAAGAAACAAAAAACAACAACAAAATAGAAACAAACAGTCAGAATCCTAGGACAATGGTTAAAGCAAACCTAAACAGACAAAATCACACAAAGAAACATCATATACACACTCACAAAAGAGAAAAAAAGGAAAAACATTTTTTTAATTTAAAAAATAATAAACTTTAAAAAAGAGCAACCAAACCAATAAAAAATCCACCAATGATAACAAGCACTAAAAGCTAAACTAAGATAAACATACAAATCAGAAACAAGTCAGATGCAGAAAGCAAACCCCAAGTCTACAGTTGCTCCCAAAGTCCACTGCCTCAATTTGGGGAACATTCATTGTCTATTCAGGTATTCCACAGATGGAAGGTTCATCGAGTTGCTTGTGAGGATTTAATCTGCTGCTCCTGAGGCTGCACAGAGAACTTTCCCTTTCTCTTCTTTGTTCGCACAGCTCCAGAGGTTCAGCTTTGGTTTTAGCCCCACCCCTGAATGTAGGCCACCCTCAGGCGTCTGTTCCTGCCCAGACAGGAGGGGTTAAAGCAGGGGCTGATTAGAGCTCTCTTGCTCACTCAGGCTGGGGAGAGGAAGGGGTACAGTAGTCATAATTGTAATTCGGGGTGAGCCTGCAGTGGCAGAGACCAACATGACATTGCAACAGCCTGAGGTGTGCCATGTGTTCTCCTGGGGAAGTTTTCCCTGGATCTCAGGACCTTGGCAGTGGTGGGCTGCACAGGCTCCTGGGGTAGGGGGTGGGTAGTGACCTGTGCTTGCACACAGGATTCTTGGTGGCAGTGGTGGCAGCGTTAGCATTTCATGCTTGTCTCTGGGGTGTGAGCTGATAGCTGCGACTCGCACCTCTCTCTGGAGCTTGCTTAGGTGGTTCTCTGAATCCCCTCGTGCACCCCAAAACAGTGGTCTCTTGCCCTTTCGGCAGGTCCAGACATTTTCCCCGACTCCCTCCCGGCTATCTGTGGCGCACTAGCCCCCTTTAGGCTGTGTTCACGCAGCCAACCCCAGTTCTTTCCCTGGGGTCTGACCTCTGAAGCCCAAGCCTCAGCTCCCAGCCCCTGCCCACCCTGGCGGGTGAGCAGACAAGCCTCTCAGGCTGGTGAGTGTTGGTCAGCACCAATCCTCTGTGTGGGAATCTCTCCGCTTTGCCCTCCGCACCCCTGTGGCTGCGCTCTCCCCCGCGGCTCTGAAGCTTCCCCCTCCGCCACCCACAGTCTCCGCCCGCGAAGGGGCTTCCTAGTGTGTGGAAACTTTTTCTCCTTCACAGCCCCCTCCCAGAGGTGCAGGTGCCGTCCCTATTCTTCTGTCTCTGTTTATTCTTTTTTCTTTCGCCCTACCCAGGTATGTGGGGAGTTTCTTGCCTTTTGGGAGGTCTGAGGTCTTCCTCCAGCATTCAGTAGGTGTTCTGTAGGAGTTGTTCCACATGTAGATGTATTTCTGGTGTATTTGTGGGGAGGAAGGTGATCTCCACGTCTTTCAGCTCCTCCATCTTGAAGGTCTCTCCCGCGAGTCCTTTGACATCCATAAAGAACAACACTTCTTTTGGCTAGTTGGTGCTTATATTAAAAAGGTAGCCGGTAGATTCAGATGTAGATTCGGGTATATGCCCACTGTTTGCATACTGTTTAAAACACGTATTTAATTCATCCAACCAGCAGATCCAGTGAGTCCAAATCACCTATTTTCCAAACAGACTCTAGCTTTTGTATCTGCACAGTGGTGCGTTGCCTTCATTTTCTTCTAAATCTCTTTCCTTGTCCTCAGTCCCCTCCTGCTTTGGTATTGAGTGCGTTCTATGACTTGAGCCACTTCCTGACCCCAGGTCCTTGTCTTCTCTCCCAACATGCTTTGTAGGTCCCCCTCCCGGGGTACATCGAGGCTTACCCCCGGTCCCGGTATCAGCAGAACTCGCCCTCCAGGCTCCCTCGCCAGTACAGCCAGCCAGCCGGGCTGCACCCCAGCTTGGAGCAGGCCCCGCTGCCCTCCGCAGCAGCCTCACAGCAGAGCCTGGCGGAGAACGACCCGTCCGACACGCCCCTGACCAACATCTCCACAGCGGCCCTGGTGAAGGCCATCCGGGAAGAGGTGGCCAAGCTGGCCAAGAAGCAGACGGACATGTTTGAGTTCCAGGTCTAATGCCTTCGCCCACTTCCAGACTCTGAGGAAACAGTCTTTGGTTTTCTCCAGCCTAGCTTGATGGGTCTGGAGGCACAGACGATGTGGGCGTTTTTCTCACCCTCAGTTTCTAAAAACGTGAACAGTGGGGCTTCTGGGGAACAGGAAACTCTTGAACAACTGGATGCTGGGCTTATTCAACTGATTGTATGTCAACAAGTCCCCATGTGGGACCATATGTTTGATACTCTGTTACATTAAGTGTTTGAACTGCGGGTGTATTTCCCTACGGAGCCTTAGTCACGAGAGATGCTCGCAAATCTGCAGATTCCTGTCCAATGCCATATTTTAATAAATCACCAGAATGGGGAGAGCACAGCTCTATCTTCGGTGACCTCTGCATGTTAACTCTATTTCTGTGTTAAAGGCAATGCAGGCGTGTGATGAAGTCCCAGACTGTACTCTCTCTCATTCAGCCATGGCTGTAATCATTGCAATCACCTTCCGTCTCCAAGGGAGACACTGACTCCAGCCAAGAAAGCTGAGTCCTTTACTTTTAAACGTTCATATTCAAAGTCAAATAAATTGGATGAAAACCAGTACTGTCAATGACTGCACCTATGAATAGTCCTCTTTTCCCCCTGCGATTAATTCAACAAAGGCCGAGAAAGAGAGAAGATGAGAGGGAATGGTGGATTCGTGCTGACAGGTTTTTGAAAAGGTGTTGTCATTTTGGAAATAGAGTATTCTGCAAGGTGGGCTCTGGCTGGAAGAGAATCGGTGCTAAGAGCTTTAAAGGTCCTACGAAAGAAAAACAGGTTTTCTTTGCCCTGCAATGAAGGTGGCCTGAGAACGAAGCTTCTCTCTTTTTGGGGACGATAGATACATCGACTTTTACAAGGAAACCTCTGTCTCTTCAGCGATGATGTCCAGCATGTGCTGCCCAGTGATACAAAAGGAAATAGTCGTTGATGCCTGTTAGAAGCAGGAACAGTGGACCCAGTCTCCCCAGGCTGCAGCCTCTGTTTATAGAAGCTTCTGAATGCAGAAAATCTGTTGATTTACATTTAAATGTAAATAACATTTTTAAAGGTGTATGGAGTTAGCCAGTCCCCTCCCGCACTCCTTCCCATAGTTAGTTAATAGACATAGGAGGACATTTGCCAAAATGGCAGGCTTCTGACCTCATGACCGTGATGTTGCAAATCAGCCTCCCTGGCGTGGCAGGTGAGCCTCCAGAGCTCTGGGTGGACAATACCTTGCAGCCCTAAGGCACCAGCTGCCGACTGTCGGTGCAAAAGCAAAACAGCTACTGACTTCAGGCAGCCCGGGGGAGGGGACACCCTGGTGCCCTCACCAACTTTGGGAGCTATGCTCAATGTTGGGGGCTTACTTGGTGTCTGTTGGAGAGTGAGGTCCTGTCCTGCCTTCTCACCCATGATCCATCTAGCTTCAGCTTGTATCCATCCCCTCTGAGTCCATCTTTCCATTCTCCTCATGAGTTTCTTTGGTCTTTTAACATTGAGAGAAGAGTAGGAGTGGAATTGATTAGAGTGGGAGAGTCAAACTGTCAAAGCACAGACTTTTCAAAGAAGCTGTTTTTATTTCCCAATGGCAAATTGCCCTTTCTGGAATGTTCTGGAGATGCTGTGTCATGGAATCCCCAAACGAGTCTCTTGTCCTGATGATATTAGGTAGTGTCCTTTTGGTATGCTGGTTGATCTTTCATAGTGTTAGTTTTTTGTTACTTTAAAAAAAAATCAGCTATAAATAAAATGTATTTTTGTAATTTCCATGTGTATATATGGTATATTTCTACCAGTGGCCGCTTGTTGTAGTCCAAAACCTAAATCAGTTTGCAAAACACTTTGGACAGTGCAAGATTTTACTGACAGATTAACACAATGCCTAAGTCTATCCAAATAGGTATTCTGTGCACTTGAATGAACAAAGAGCCAAAGAAACTCAGCCTTTTCATGCAAACGGTATGAGTCTGATAAAGTCAGCTACATTGTCCCGCCTTATCAATGATATGAATATTTCATCAGTGCAATGGTATCAACCCGGTACTTTGTCTACTTGGTAAATGCCTGGAAATACTGTATGTGAAAATGAAGTTCCAAGACCTTAGTGTAATTTAAGCCTAGGCACATGCTTTCAAGACAGTGTCTGTGTTTTGGATGTACCAGTGACTCGCAGAAGAGGAGGCCACAGTGTGCGGTGGTCTGGCTCCAGCTGGCTAAGAGGATGCAGAAAAATCATGGTGAGCTGTGTAGAACCCCATGAAATACTGAGCCAGTCAATGGAGATGGCTAAAAATACAGCATGCTAAAGCAGACACTCTTTTAAACGAGATACTGCAGGTTTAAGAGCAGTATACGGGAGGAAAACCTTAAGTTGAGAAGAAATCAAATCTGTCTGTGTTGTCCCACCAATGCGAGGATGGCCGCCATTGTTTGATATTCTGTGACTAAGATGTGGTCCCTTTGCTGAAGAGTGTCCTGACCTCATGGAGGTTATGGATACCTGGACAGCTGACTCTGAGAAAAGGCAGGTGGTCAAAAGTGCCCTGTGGAAGTGAACACAGAGTTCCACGCAAACCCAGAGGCTCTGTGTTCCTCATGACCCTCCAGACAGCTGAAGAAGCCACAGAGGACATTGGTGACCTCAGAGAAGGAAGCTAAAGTCCGAAGTGAAGTGACCTGACTGAAGCCTCCAGCCCAAGCCCACTGACTCATGACTGGGCTTGCTTTCCATTTCACCATGCTGCCTGCACGCTTGCCTGCGACACGTTTCTTGAACTGTGCTGGGAAGTTCAAAAAGTAGACAAGGGTCATATGAGGGACTATCTACGTTCTTGTGAAGAAAAACGATAATTGAATATGTAAAGAACTGCAGATAAAGTGTATGAGGACAGTGCATTTGTGGCATAATAAACATTTTTCGGAACTAGCTTCAACATGAGTTTTCTGCATTCATGAAAAGAAAGGCATTTTGGCTTTTTGCAGAGAGTGCCATCAAGGAAATGGTGTTCTCTACTGCTGTTCAAGACTTCAGGGGTGTGTTCTTAGTGCCATGGGCCCAAACAGGCAGGTGGGGAGGCCACAGCAGCTCGTCACTGAGAGGTAGCCGATTCTGCACTTTGCATTAGGGGAGGCGATCCCGTGGTACAGGAACGTAAAAGTCTATTGCGTGCCCTGGTACCTACCACCCGAGATGCACTGGTACCTGTGGAATAGGAACTTGCTTCTTTCAGGGTGTGCTATGGACTGAATGTGTCCTCTGCAATTTCTATGCTAAAATCCTAACCCCCAATGTGATGGTATTAGGAGGTGGGGCCTTGGGAGGTGCTTAGCTAGTGAGGGGAGCCCTCATGAATGGGATTAATGCCCTTATAAAAGGGACCCCAGAAAGCTCTCTTGTCCTCTTTTCTGCCACATGAGGATAAAATAAGAAGTCGATAGTCTGCAACCCAGAAGAGGGCTCTCACCAGGACCTGACCCGGCTGGCACCCTGATCTCGGACTTCCATCCTCCAGAACTGTGAGAAAGAAATGTCTGTTGTTTGTGAGCCACCCAGGCTATGGTTCTCTGGTTTGGCAGCCAGAGCTGACTAATGACTAAGACAGGGTGGATCATGTAGGCATCAATTCTCCGGTGCCAGAAGAAGTTATATTGTGCATGTGCTAATTTAAGAATTCAGCAGAAGGGCATGTAATTTCTGAGCATTCTTGATGGAAGAATGGATAGGATATTGTTAGATTTGTGATATAAAAAAAGAAAAGAAGACTTCTGAGAGTACAGATGGAGGAGGAGAAAGATTTAAATACCTGACTAAAATAAGTGCTTCTCTAACAGGCAGAAATTAACAAAATAGATCAAAAGATTTAAATACCGATTACCAATAAATAAGCTTCTTTTTTCTACGTAACACACAGGCACTCATTGTTCAATGAAAACAAATAAGAGGGGGGCTTCCCTGGTGGCGCAGTGGTTGAGAGTCCGCCTGCCGATGCAGGGGACACAGGTTCGTGCCCCGGTCCGGGAAGATCCCACATGCCGCGGAGCGGTTGGGCCCGTGAGCCATGGCCGCTGAGCCTGCGCGTCCGGAGCCTGTGCTCCGCAACAGGAGAGGCCACAACAGTGAGAGGCCTGCGTACTGCAAAAAAAAAAAAAAAAAGAACAGATATTATTTTAAAGTTTGAGAACAGAATTTAAATGTAATCCACTCCTATTACACATCAGAAAGTAGTTTGGACTTTTCTAACAAAATACAGCCAAATATGCTTACGGAAAGATAATAATTTAGCAGTGACTGACTTGGGTCCAAGTATTAGAAATTAAATGCAGCCATTTAGTCCAATCTTGAAGATATTCTAGTCAAGGACCTTTGTGAGGACCAGAAACCCATTCACACTTGCTCAAATGTAGAGACTGACTGAGCAAATACAGGCAGACCTCAGAAATATTGTGGGTTTGGTTCTAGACTGCCACAATAAAGCAAATATCACAATAATGTGAGTCACATTAATTTTGGGGTTCCCAGTGCATATAAAAGTTATATTTACACTATACTGTAGTCTATTAAATGTGAAATAGCATTATGTCTAAAAAAAATACATACCTTAATTTAAAAACACTTTACTGGTAAAAAATACTAACCATCATCTGAGCCTTCAGCGAGTTGTAATCTTTTTGCTGGTGGAGGGTCTTGCTTCAGTGTTAATGGCTGCTGACTGATCAGGATGGTGGTTGCTGAAGGTTGGCATGGTTGTGGCAATTTCTTAAAATAAGGCAACGATGAAGTTTGCTGCATTGATTGACTCTTCCTTTCATGAGTGATTTTTCTATAGCTGCAATGCTGTTTGTTTGATAGCATTTTGACCACATTAGAACTTCTTTCAAAATTGAGTCAGTCCTCTCAAAACGCTGCTGCTCTTTATCATCTAAGTCATATTCTAAATCCTTTGTTGTCCTTTCAACAGCCTTCACAACATCTTCACCAGGAGGAGCGTCCATCTC